TCAGTTCAAACTGCATGCCAAGCTGTGACTTATATGAACTATGATTTAGAAGTCAAGATATGTTTCAGAGCTTCCCTCCAGCTTTCACAGCTGCATGTCACATCCTGCTATCCCTGCATAGCCCTTTGCTCTGAAGCCAGAGCAAAAAGCAAACAAAGGTTTGCCAATTCTGACATCACACCAAAGCATAACTAACTTAAATCATGGCCTGTGCGCTCACTTTAAATCACAGTATACAATCTGTGCTTTGTGCCCACTTCAGTTCAAAACTCTATGGTTTCTCAGTTCAAATTCCATTCCAAATTATGGTTTGCCTCTGTGATTTGACGCAGTATCTGAATGGGGCTATGAGTGACCACTCAGAACAAAATTATACAGTCTCGCAAATTTCTCCAAAGTGAAAACCAGGTGGCAAGGCAACAAGGTTGCTTGCCATTTTTTTTGTAAAGCCCCCCGCCGTTCCTCTAGCTCCCCCCTCTTCCTTGTCCCACATTTCCCCTACATTTCAGCATAATTTGCTCAGGACTAAAAAGGTTCTATGCATATCTTCCCAAGCTACTTAGCACCCCTAAGCCATGCTGCAACCAAAGCAATGAGTGCTGTTCAAAATGGCTATATGCAGCCTTCTCTTTCTCTCTCCACAACACACACACACCCAACATTGCTTAAGCACCTTCCAGAAGAAAGGGAACAAAATCAGCCAGGGTTTCTCACAAAAATGCAGAAGCAGCCTGATCACCAGATTTACAGAACTCATAGTTACAAAGCTTGTGCTTCTAGCTCTTTATATAACTTTTTTTAAAATTAAATTCTTACGTAGGCAATCCAAATTATGCACAGAAAGAAAACCAAACAAAACCCCAATTGTCCCCCAAAGCAAACAGGAATCAGCACATATGCATGAAGGCCAATAAATTGTTTCCATCTCTCATTTCAGGTAAATGTTTTCTATTTTTATAACATTCTGACTCTGGGAGGTTGGGGTGAAAACAAAAAACTGTACAAGGTATAGGAGGCTAATCTACTTTTCAGATAATCAGGTAAGGATGGAGAATGTGGTCCATCATCTGATTTTACCAGGCATTGCCCATGCACTGCTGGGACTAGCTTTGCAATCATAAGGACTAGAATCATATTTTTAAACAAAAAGCAACATTTTCAAGAAATGGAATTAGCTGTCAAGTGAACTGTAGCCTTATTGGCCACTAACACAATCAGATGTTTAAAGAGCCAGAATCCTGTGGGTAACTGGAATATCAGGATACAGAAGGATTTGGTTATCAATCCAAGTAGGCCCAAAACACCTACATGTTGAAAACCAGACACATCAAGCTCTGAGCTTCCTTCTAAGGAAGCCTTATTAGTGACCTCCCACAAGTTAATAGCTTGCAAAACATTTTACTCTCTAAAGCCTGGGATTTTTTGCAGGCGAGAAATGGAAGGGGCTAGTGAGAGACACAGAACATTATTTTTCTCCTTTGCCAGTCCATTACATTTCTGATGGGACTCCTTCTGCAACCAGAATAACTAGCTGGCAAAGGAGAAACAGTGTGCCACGATGACTGAGGTTTTATAACATGACATTTAAGAACCCTTGTTACAATCCAGCCACAATAATACAGTTCAGCCACACTCTCATTTCTTTGCATACTGATGAGATTTCTAAAATCCCTTCTAGTAATGCACCTGCCACAAAGGATTTAAGAGACATGGTGCCAACATCCCGTGCCTCATCCAGTACCCCCACTCTTCAGGTTGTGACCAAGCCAATGGCAACCCACTTTGGCCACTGCATGGGGTAGGGAGGGGGGAATTGCATGCAAAAAGCAAGCTTGTTAATTCTGTCTTGTGTCTTGCCTGGAATCCACATCAAGAGCAATTACTGTTCACTCTGGCTCTTTAAGCTCCACTCCCAGCCGTATTAAATATTTATGAGACAAATATGCAAAGTGCAACAAGCTTTACAGCCCCCAGAAAAAGACATCTGAGACAACTTAATACCACGCAGCAATTATGTTGATGTTGTTGGTGAAACGTGCCTTAAAACCTGATTTTTATTTATATTTATTTATAATACATACACATATATATCAAAGATACACATGTTTATGCCTTAAGTTGGACACATACAACACAGTAAACCATAAAGCCTGATTTACAATAAAAACATTACAGTTGTTAAAATAACAACATCAGGGTTCATATTTCAGACTAAATCCACTAATGGTTAAGTCCAGTGGAAAGATGCAGGTTTGAGTCCACCCTTGACTATGAAAGCTTACTGGAAGACTTTGGGGCAGTCATTCTCTCTCAGCCTACCTCACAGGTCCACGGCTGTGGGGAAAAACAAGAGAAGATGTACTGTGTATGCCACCTTGAGCTCCTGAATGTAAAGTTGAGATGTAAATCTAACAAATAAGTAAACCAGAACAAAACAAACCACATTATGGCTTAGTATTATGTGAGAACCCTAATCTATGACTAGGGATATCAAGCATAACCTTCAGGTGCAGAAAGGACCATTACAAGTCCTACCACCACAGGTAGAATATTCAGAGTCATGCCTCATTCCCATAACCCAAAACGCAATGTGGGCTTTAATACTGTGAATTCAAATTTGGCCGTGAATCTTTAGAGTAATGAAGAGTAATGAAGACATTAGAGTAATGAAGACTCCTGAATGCAGATAGGAGTCTGGGAACATATACACAAATTAACCCATCTAGAATAAATTGCAACCCTTAGTACTGTTATCACCAGGAACACTTTGTGAATCCCAGCTTCACCCACACACATCCATTGAAAGGTGGGGGGGAACACAACCTTGATTTATCCAGGCTCATTATCACATGCTAGTTAAGGGGCACAGCAAATGACTCATGATAAAGAAGGGATAAGTTTTAATCTTTACGCACTATTTTTAATTGTGGGAGGGGGATGCAATTTCCTTTACCGTTGACAGTACTCTGCATTGCTGCAACAGAAAAATGATTAAAAATTACTTTTCCTTCCAACAAAGATCTTCTTTTTTAAATAGCAAGCTTAAAAAGTAAAGTCACCAACTTTGGTTGAACTGAAGTTTAATAAGATTAAATTAGCTAGAAAGCAAAAGATGCAGCATATTTCAAATTTTCACAAGGCTGATTTTAAGTAACCTGTACGCTGAAATATGCACCATATCTAAATTCTAGTGTGGAGGGATGAGAACATCCCCTGGGGGAGGGTGAAGAAAGAACAAGCTGTGTTCTCAATTTTAAAAATAAAGTCTAAAAAGATGTAGTGGGAGAAGCATCCTTTTGAGGGTATGGTGAAAGATCCTATTTAAATTCTTAAAGAACTGAGGCAAAGCAGGATTTTTTTGGGGGGGAGGTGAAGAATAAAGCCCAAAGTTATTTAATATGTGAGGGTCAGGGTGATGATGAAAGTCTGGATTATGTCCAGATTATGTCATATTCCTTTCATGCTATTAAGGGTGTCCTGTCCATCTTCCCCCAACAATACTGCCTGCAGCTGACCAATTTTCTCCCTTCTGCCTCCACCCTAATGACATAGCTGTCCTCTTCTCAACTCATAAAATTGCAGAGTAAGCCCCCTTTCCACTGATCTATACAACCTCTATCTCCCACTAGAATTTCACCACTCCTGCCTCCTCCTTTATCCCTCCTTCTCTAACGATACCTCTCCCAAGACCACCAAGATTTCTCCCCCAAAACTACATTTTCTGTCCTTTGCCTGCTTCCAAGATTTTTGTTAACTCTCCCAAGGCACCCATTACTTAGTATTTATTGTAAACCCCAAATCACTTCTCCAGTCCCACACTCCTGCTTCACTTTTCTCTAATCCTCCCCATGCCTGGGTTCTCCCCCACTTTTTCAGCCTCTCCTTAAACTCCCTGATTTTTGCCAAACAGTCTTAAAAATTCCCCACCCAGCTTCTCCCCTGCAAATCTGCCTGCTGCATCCCATTGTAAATTTCCTCCCCCCACAACTTTTTATTGTTATACATCAGCAGCATTATACTCAAGAAACCCTCAGTGTCCCCCTCCTGATTTTTTCCATTCCACACCCTATTATCTCATCCAATATACACTTATATACCATAAATCTATATTATCCCTATATGCTCCTCTCTGGTCACTATACTACTGTTTCCCTAAACTACTAATGCTAATTACACTGATGGTTGATAATAATTATGCTGGTAATATGTAGAACCCAGCAACTCCTCCTAGCAATGCATCGAAAATGCTTTTCCTAATAACAACAACAGACAATATGTACTTTTACCCCTTCCTGGATTTGCACCAAAATCCATCATTGTAACCCAATCTCCACATTTTAATGTGCAATCTCCACACCCCTAAATTTTATACTGATGAACACTGATACTATTGCTCATAACCCCACAATTGTTTTTCAACCTCTCAGCACAGATCTGCCAGCATGTCCTCCAAACAAGTACTGTTACCAATGTTAAATGTTCTGATGGGAATGTTAACAGTATTAATACTGTTGGGTAGTTGGCTGAATCACTAACAGCCCAACAGTAACTTGTATCAATAAATGCCATGTTATTAAATAACCTTTAGGATTCCCCCTCCCCAAAGTATCCAAACTACCATTCCTGCAGCAAAGTCTCATACTAATACCAAGAAAAACAGGGCTACCTTTAAATCTTCACTTCCAATACAAGCCACACTGTTTATCATTATCCATAACCCAGTCTCCCCCCCACCATCATTCAGCAGATATAACTACCGATAAACCCGAACTGTATCATCAGCGCCTACACTGACAACAGCCCAAGATCCAGACCCTCTTTCCCCCAACAGTATTCAATATTAGCCATCAACCCAGTCATGGTCTCCCTCAGTAACAGTAGCAACAAACCAGGATTAGCCTCAAGAGCCTCGTGATTCCGCCTCCCCCTCCCCAGACACGGTTTTGCACTCATGATTATAACTGAAGGACGAGAATTGATAAAACAATACGGGTAATTACAGGCATCCCTCCTCACGTTCAGCCACAGCTGCCCGAGGGCTCCGTGCCCTCGCTCCGCCACGGCACCCGCGGATGCTCTTCGTCCCCGAGGGGGAAAGCAGCTGGACCGGAGGGCGAGCAGCTGCGGGCGGGCAGCCGAGCGCATCGCGGGCGGAAGGGACGGCTCCCCTCCCGAAGCGGGGCCCGGGCGATGAGGGGCGACCCCCGCCCCTGCTCGGGGAGGATGCCACCTGGGCCCTCCCTCCTCAGGACCGGCCACCCGCCGGACCGGTCCGGCGGG